TCCCAGCTATGTCAGCTCTAACCATAATACACTGATGGTTAGGACTGCTACAAAGCTACATTTTCCAGTCATGTCAGCTCTAACCATAATACACTGATGGTTAGGACTGCTACAAAGCTACATTTTCCAGCCATGTCAGCTCTAACCATAATACACTGATGTTTAGGACTGCTACAAAGCTACATTTTCCAGTCATGTCAGCTCTAACCATAATACACTGATGGTTAGGACTGCTACAAAGCTACATTTTTCAACCATTCATCTTTATCTTCATTACAAAGTGAATGAATAAGGGATATTTTCACTGTTTATATCTATTATTTACAGAAATCACAGCCTTACAAATTCTCCATTTTGGTGTGGTTTACTGTATTACAAACATATTAACTCACATTATATAACAAACAAAAATACAACAAAGTACTTCATTTTATCTTAAGTTATAAGAAGTGAAGTTATGGACTTATAGCCTGTCACACATCAAAACATCTCTGTGACCCTGACTTTTGCTTGTCACACATTAAAACATCTCTGTGACCCTGACTTTTGACTTATAGCCTGTCACACATCAAAACATCTCTGTGATCCTGACTTATAGCCTGTCACACATCAAAACATCTCTGTGATCCTGACTTATAGCCTGTTACACATTCATGATCTAGACCTTTCAACCAGTATGACTTCTTGCCTATGAAATATATCACATAGAGAGCAACATATCTGTGACTTTCACCTAAAATGTTCCACTTATGAAACAAATTCTTTGTAAGATTCACCCATAAATTGCCACATATAAAAAAACAAGTGTGACCTTGAACTATAATCTGCCATAGATAACTTTGACCTTTTGAAATGTTTCACTTATCAAACAAGTTTTGTGACCTTTAATTCTTCATTCCTACAAACCAATACCTAATTCTTTTCAGACAGCTTTTACAGTGTTATTTTCAGAAGCAAGAGTGCTAAGACTATTATTTCTATACAATTTATAAAACAGATTTTTTTCTTTGCAGAGATTGTAACATTTCACCTGCTATAAATGATACTAATGAATTTTTGAGAACCCACACATATTTAATATGTTTTTGCTAAGAAGTTAAAATATTTTTTTCTTGATCTCATGTCAAATGCCACGTTACAATGTCATACTCGTTTAGCAGGTAGTGTGTTTCACTTAATGGTCAAAATAAATTCTAGTCATGAGGTTGTTGATTTTTAATCTCATCCATCCAAGAAGAATTCGCAAGTTATTTTTTTCATCAATTTGTGTTTAATGGCAAACATATTCTACTTACTAACTTATTAAGTTAATTCTTCCTAGCAGTTTGTTTCCTAAAACATTCCGATAACGTAGTTCAACTTTGAAAGCAAACCAGTTACAAAGATATACATTTTTGATGAAATTAGCTTCTCAGAGTTTCAGCTTTATTTTCTTGCTGATTTTAAATACACACATTATGATGTGCCCTGTTTGTAGGAACAACAATTCATTTTAGAAAGTGTCACACCCTTGTCGAGTCGACAAGAATCAAAAGAATTTAAGGTGGAACCATCTTAACAAAAGAGGAAAGGAAGCAATTACTGAGAAACTCACAAACCCCTTCAATTTTCTTTTTAGGTGCCATACATGCAGTGCACACAAAACATCTACTACACATCAAACTTTTATTGAAACCTACATCACAAGATGGTTTTAATACCAAGCTTGAGATTAAACAAGTCTTTCAAACTACTGTATTATCTACAGTTATTTACATAAACAATACTAATATAACAGAGAATTTCATATCTCAACTATTATAAATAACACGCGAATGATAAAACAACTTATCGAATCCAATTTAACATAAAGGTTGATTGTGTTTTCTTCTTCTTCAAAGCAACATTACCTATTGGGCTGTTCCTACTTTTTTGTTGTGTGAGGCAGCCCATATAGAGACCCAAACGTTATGCCATCCAAGAAAGAGGGCAGGACTTGACCCATGCACAAAACAGGATCAATCCTTACAAATTTGAGCCCTACAATGTTCATGCTGCCTAAAATACTTGACAATGACAAAATAGATGTTTTGTTATTCTATAAATTAAGGTATCTACCTCCCCACGTATTAGTGGAGGGAGGGGGGAGGAGGAACGAAATTACTCTTTACATCCAGGTATTGATAAAGAACATCTCAGCATGTATGTATTTTGTTTGTTTGAAGTTAAGCACAAAGCTACACAATGGGCTATCTGTACTCTGACCACCACGGGTATCGAAACTCGGTTTCTAGCGTTGTAAGTCCGCAGACATGCCGCTGTGCCACTGGCGGGGGGGGGGGGGCATGTCTGTAACTAATATATTATCAACTAAGTTCACACTCCTCCCATGTCAATTGTCAGTTAGGGAAACAACCCAACAGACATGGGCAGGAATATACAACCAAATCTATCGTTGTTTAACATTATATAACTCTACATTTTTCTTTTATGATTTGTATTAGAATTTGCAGCTCTTGGCGATCGCTAGTGAAAAGGTTCCCCGTCTGCCACACGTTAGCACTGTCCCTGGTGGCGGCACGGGCGCTTTTCGGCTTGGTGAACTGTTTTATCTGTATTTCTTTGGAGAAATGACAATAAAGTAATGAATAGGACGATTACTCTTGTTATTATACTGAGATTAGAACACTGTCGTGACGTTTCGCGCGTGTTTATAATATTGTTGTACGCTTCGCGTTTCTACAGTTGGCTTATCATTCATTGCGAGTTGCTGCACAGTCAGTATATGAGATTGTATAATATAGGCTTCAAAGTGTTCATTTCACTTCAGTCTTATGTTTTTGATTTCAGCGTATGAAACTGTATTCGGATAACGTTTATTCAAATAAAAATTTAACAGTTCGTTAAACCGAAAAGCGCCGTGGCATGCATGCTATTTGCTTTATATTACAGCGTTTCAAACCTTGGTGCCATACTTTTTCTTTCACATTACAGTGTTTTAAGCGCGAAAAGACGCGTGTTGTCTTCAATGAGGGAGGGGGGGGGGTATAACACTTCAACCCCAAACCTGCACTTTTCTTTTTATAAAGCGCGTTCCGGAATTTTTGAGCCCACCCATCGAGGCCTGTCATACGCCACACTTATTTTCTTAGAATAGTGTTTATCTTACGTTAGAACGTTTCACGAGTGGCGCGTGCTTGTTTTTGGTTAGAAAACAATGCCTCGAGTGTAACATCAAGAGTCTCTTAAGCTAGACGTTAATTTCACCAAGAAAGAACTTCGAAAATAAATTTAAGTTAAACCTCAAATATTAAAGAACCGCAAGGTCCCGTTTCACATAAAGACTTGTAATACATCAAAAGATACAAAACTCTGCCTTATGTTCAAGTGAGTGACGAGAAGTGTTCTAAGAAATTGGATGGTTTTAGATCGTGATTGTTACCAGTATAGAACCGCCAGTCCATGAAATATGTTTAATATCTTCGAATTATTCTTTTCCTGATGCCTCAATATTTTTCAGTGTGTCAAAACCCATGGAAATAAACCGAGTCAGGGTGATTTCATAAACATCTTAAAGACAAGTTTACATATTTATACCCCAGCACGTGCAGAAAGCTCGCGATCGATAGTGAATATTCACACCACAAAAAGATACAATCAGTGGACATATGTTCCCTTTAAGAACCTTCACAAGAAATATTTCTCATTCTTGCACTCCACCTCCCACCCCCAAGTGGCTCAGTGGTTAATTAAATCTGGAGGCTTACGACGCTAAAAATCGGGTTTCGATACCCGCGGCGGGCAAAACAAAGTTACCTAACTGTGCCTAACAACAAGCAGCTACTCAACTATTTTTTACTCTCTATAATTTCAGCATGACAGTTTCTGAGCTTGAACTAGCCATTTTAAAATGTAAATCAACACAATCCGAAATGGGATATTTACTATCTACATCCGGTGGCCACAACTTCTACATGTCTGTCCGACAGTGTATGAGATTTTCTGCATCGTTTCCTGGGATCAGCAGATTCACCCCTTTTTGATGTCGGTGTAAAAAGCTTTTAGTGAAGTGTAATCTCCTAGCTTTTGGTGCACTAGAGCTCTCCTATTCTGTCTTTAGAGCTCTCTTATTCTGTCTTTAGAACCCTCCTATTCTGTCTTTAGAGCTCTCCTATTATGTCTTTAGACCCTCCTATTCTGTCTTTAGAGCTCTCCTATTCTGTCTTTAGAGTTCTCCTATTCTGTCTTTAGAACCCTCCTATTCTGTCTTTAGAACCCTCCTATTCTGTCTTTAGAACCCTCCTATTCTGTCTTTAGAGCTCCTATTCTGTTTTTAGAGCTCTCTTATTCTGTCTTTAGAACCCTCCTATTCTGTCTTTAGAGCTCTCCTATTTCTGTCTTTAGAGCTCTCCTATTCTGTTTTTAGAGCTCTCTTATTCTGTCTTTAGAACCCTCCTATTCTGTCTTTAAAGCTCTCCTATTCTGTCTTTAGAACCCTCCTATTCTGTCTTTAGAACTCTCTTATTCTGTCTTTAGAACCCTCCTATTCTGTCTTTAGAACCCTCCTATTCTGTCTTTAGAACTCTTTTATTGGAAATTTCAGAAACCAAAATCCCCTTTACTTTTTTCCTCTCCTCATGTTACTCACATGACAAGATCTGTAGTTTTAAAAAATCATTTTAACTTCTGTTTTATATAGGTTTTGTTCTCGGTAGGTGAATTTCACACTTAACATTTAAGTGTTTGTTTTTTCAGGTATTTACACAATGGTGTCGACGGTTTTACATCAGCGCCACCTATTCAAGGATATAGAGCATGAATGAACAAAGTGGAGCAGCAGAAAATGGAGTGGAAACTTGTACTCGATAAGAAATAAAACCGGCCCTAAATATATCAGGCGCGTGCTGTTATTCTGTATCCTTGTCCCACTATCTAAATTTAAATAACGGAGAGAAGGACAAACGCTCTCACATTACCTTTACTATTACACTTCAATCTTTTGTTTGTAACTGGTAACATTTTTGCTAGTTCAAACCTCTTTAAAGTTGTGTAGTTCACTTGAAAGTTCGATTTTTTCTTTATCAACTCACTAAAGTTTCAACGCATAGGAAAATCAACTATAACATATCAAAGGCTAAGAGTAAACCTAAACAAATTTAAAGAAAACTTCTTTAGAGCTCTCTGTCCTTAGGGATCTCCTATTCTGTCTTTGGGGCTCTCCTAAGCAGCTCATTTAACCAACCTATTTTACTCAAAACACTGAGGATTTTATTTTATCACATGATATCTTTCGTATTAAAACTGATGAGCCGATTACTTGATTTGTGGTGTTATAACACGAACTCACGTCCTTTCAGCTTATATGACGTAAATAGAGACAATTGTAGTTCCGAAGTTCCGTGGTTAGGGCCACATTAACAATAAAATCGCTTGGGCCTTGGGGGCGTTATAAGATTGACAGTCAAATCTCACTGTTCGATTGGAGTAGCCCAAGAGTTGGTTGTTGGTGGTAACTAGTAGTAGTCTTCATTCTAGTAGCTTTACGCCACAAACAACGACAGAAATAATATAAAATAACATATGCTTTCTTTGTCTAACGACATTTGGTTAACAAACCTTCGATATATTCTTTGTACTATAATATTTTCTAATGTAAGTAAAACGTTTACTTACTTCAATAAATTTATCTCCGTTGACAATTTTATTTGGCTTACATACATTTCTTTGACTAACGACATTTGGTTAACAAACCTTCGATATTATTCTTTGTACTATAATATTTTCTAATGTAAGTAAAACGTTTACTTACTTCAATAAATTTATCTCCGTTGACAATTTTATTTGGCTTACATACATTTCTTTGACTAACGACATTTGGTTAACAAACCTTCGATATTATTCTTTGTACTATAATATTTTCCAATGTTTATTTTGTTTGTTTTTTTTGGAATTTCGCGCAAAGCTACACGAGGGCTATCTGCGCTAGCCGTCCCTAATTTAGCAGTGTAAGACTAGAGGGAAGGCAGCTAGTCATCACCACCCACCGCCAACTCTTGGGCTACTCTTTACCAACGAAT